AGCACCGGGTTTCCCATGAAATACCGTTTTGGGCCCCAAAGGAAGGGGCCGACAGGGAGGAGCTTACTTTACCTCTTCTGGTCAGAAGGCAAGACCCGGACTTCTCCCTTCCCGTGCATGAAGCAAAGCTTTATTTATCCATCAGTTTTCCTGTAAATACACAGAAGCTGCCAACATAGCACGAGAATGAACACAGGAAGAAACACGTCGATAGAAAAACACTCTTCGCGATCGTTTACAAAAGCCTTAAAAACTTGACTGTTTTCCTAGGTGTTAGGGCCAAGATGAGTTAAATTAAATTAGATCGCATTAATTTTGGTTAATGAGCCAATTCCCACTGGGAGAGGGTATGACTGTGAGCCGGGTCGCCTATTATCGATGATTGCTTGTTATCTTGGCTGCTTCTGGTGGCAAGCTGCCCAGAGTCAGATTGTTCAAGTCGGGCAACCGCATCTATCCTTTAAACAAAGCAGCATGTTGACCCGTCTTCTTACAGGCTTGGATTCTGCCCCTTCCTGCTGGGCGGCTCTTTCGGCTCCACCTTTGGTGAGCGAAGAGGTACTTCACGGTAAGTCTTTTAATAAAATGGGTTAGTTCGAAAAGGCGCTCCCAGACTTGCCTTTTTTTGCTACCGTAGACTAACACGGCTCTCCTCCTACATTACCTCTGTGCTCCCCTTGCGTGTGCTTGAGGTATTATTATTATTATTTATTACATTTATATGCTGCCCAACTCCCAGTGACTCTGGGCAATTACAAAGAAAAATATGAGAAACAAGAAAAAAATAGACCCCAAAAAAGGAGTAAATGACAAGAACTGGACAGAAATGAAAAAGAAACAGACCCACCCACTCGAAAGGGGCTTTGCCCGCCCTCGCCAAAGGCCTGGGTGAAGAGGAGGTCTTCAGGGCCTCTGAAACACCAGCTGAGCGGGGGCTGTTCAGATCTCACGGGGAACCCCATTCCAGAGGGCAGGCGCTGTGACGCAGAAGGCGCGTTTCCAGGGTGCCTACCGATGGCACTGTTAATCAATGGAACCCAGAGCGTGGCAGCGCTGCCAGATCAGAACCGGGCAGATGCCACGGGAGACCAGCGGTCCCTCAAGTATCCAGGCCCTTTATAGGTAGCAAACAGCACCTTGGATTGCACCCAGTAGCAAACTGGCAGCCAATACAGCTTGTGAAGCAGAGGTGTTACGTGGGCATACTGAGGCACTGCCGCATTCTGGACAGTTAGAAGTTTTCGTGTAGTCTTCGAGGCCAGCCCCGTATAGAACACATTGCAGTAATCAAGCTGTGTGGTGACAAGGGTGTGAGTGACTGTCTGGAGGCTCCCAATCCAGAAAGGGGCGCAACTGGCACACCAGATGGAGCTGTGCAAAGACCTGTTTGGCCACAACTGTCAGCTGCTCTTCAAGCAGGAGTCCAGGAACACCCCCAGATTTCTCATCACCCTTGAATGGGGAAGTGCCACCCCACCCACAGTCAGGAATGGAATATCCCCAAATCTGGGTGTCCCAAATACCCAGAGCCGCTTGGTTTTGGGTAGAATGGAGCTGGTAGATTCTTGGTGTCCTGAACATATCAGATTTAGTCTGGGCAGAAATGAGGAAGCGCTTGGAGTTAATCTTGAACATAAAACAGGAATCTGGTCTTGGTACCTCCTCATTCATGGAACATATGTGGATCTCCTTTTGATGAGAGAGGCCCCTAATTCCCCATCGTTCCTAGCCCAGCGTCAGGCCTGCCTGCCTGCCTGCCTTCCAACTCAAATGCTGGGAGTCCAGGCAGTGTACAAAATACTAAAACCAGAAGACAAACACTCTCAATTAAAATCCAACCAGACGTTAACAGGGTGACTGGGGACACTTTTCTACTCCGGTCCTCCTGGCTCCCGTGCCTGAGGAAGAAGCCAGCCTTTTACTGCCTTCCTGAAGGCCAACTGGGGGTGAGGTGTGGGGAGTGTTCTAGGGGGCAGGCACTGCAATGGGAATACTAATGGGAAACTGGCTGATGGGTTCAAAGGGAGCAGCAGTTAAAGCCCTGAGAACCACAGTCACATCCCAAACGTGGAAGAGCACATGACTTGGAGCTAGCACTGCACAGGAAGGAGGCCCACGTGGGTGACCAGGCCGTGAGGTCCCCAGCCATCCAGCAGGATGGGAAGCCTAAAGCCACAGCCTGGCTCTCCAAGATGTGCTCTCCTTGGTACCACCATTCAAAGACCTGACAGGTCATCTGGAAGCTCTTGGTGGCACTTGGTGTCTGGGTGCCAAGATGGCCTCCACCAGGAAGGGTGAGATGCTTTTGTTCAATTTCCAGGCGTAATGTGACAACCAATCTGGACCTGGTGTAGGATCAGGATGGAGATCATTTGGACATTTTGTTAGATGCCGTAGAGGTTCCTCAGTCATTTCCACTGGGACAGAAAGAACAAGGGCTCCTGGGCCAGACTGGGGTGTTCAGGAGTAATCATTCCTTCAGCATCCCCAACACAAGACAGTGTTGGCGGAAAAGTTGGTTTCCTCTGCTCTGTTGGCTTTTAATTGGGTGAATAAGCACCTCACTTCTCCTCCAGTTTCCTTCATTTGGTGCCTTTTCTCCTTGTACTTGGAAACAGGTGGTGGGAAAAACTGGCTTTCTTAGGCTCTGAAACCTCACCAGATAAGTGTCTCTGCATTGGCTCTCAGGGGCGCCAAAATCTCTGTGGTTGTCCACTCAGCTTGGATGCGACAGCATCAGTCTGAGGAGCATCGTTTGCTCACTGGATGCAAGAGCACTTCCTCCCTACGTGAACGCATCGGGGGCCGGAGGTGGTGTGCTGTCACGGGCCTTTTATTTCTGATGCCAGCCCAACAGAGGGGATTCCTTTTCCTTCTGCATCTCTCTCTGTAATGTGATTCCCTCGCCTCTTCCGCTGTCTCTTCTGTGCTGAATGAGAAAGACTTGAGGAACCTCCAGAATAGTGGTGAAACCATGTTTGAAAGTAGCCTCTGCCAAGAGCTCGACGGGCATGGAGGGGGCCATACGATGAAGCAGGCGGCCTCCCGTTTCTCCATGCCACCCCAACAGCACCTGAGTTGGAACCGGCACCGGACTTTTCACTGCCACCAGCAGGGGGACCATGGAACGTGGTCCTGGGATGGCAAGAGAGTGGGTCCTCTCTGCCTGAAGTGGCCAAGAGGAGCTGGGCAGATCCTGCCATCCACCATCCTGTTTAGGCAGCGTGTTGGGCAGGGTCCCTGGCAAAAATTGTGCTGGGAGAGCAACTAAATAGGATTTCAAGCGGCTTCTGCGGTGGGCTGGGGACGAGCCCCTCTTGCGCAACCCTTTTCCTCCTTGCGGGACAGCCGGTGTGGCGCTGGCCTCTCCAAAGGCCCCAGAGCTGAAAGAGCCCAGGAAGTCAGACGGGCAGGACGGGATGCAGGAAAAGCACGGCTCCTTCCCCTCTCACTTGCCCTGCTCTTACAATTTAGAGGCAAGTGCGGTTGTTTGCGGAGCAAAAACGGGCAGACGCAAGGGGGAGTCAAGGACCTATAAGAGAAAAACTCTACCCCTCCTCATTGTGACTTTCACCTTTATTTCAGGTTCTCTTTTTCCTATAAAACTCCTCCATAAATTTCACAAATGTAACAAAAAGCTTAAAAGTCAGGACAAAAAAACAACCCCATAACTTATTACAAACATTTCCCTCCCCGCCCCCACACTTTTCAACGCTTGTTTTGGACTCGCACGACAGGTGTGTTTCTGACACCTTATCCAGAAACGCTCCCCGTCTACTGCTTAATACGCTCTGTTGACAAACCCGGCATTTAATACCTTCCCTTCTGACAGAATGCAGCCTTAAAATACTCGCCAGAGAGAGCAGGAAGTCCTTGTTCACTTCAGGGGTGCCAGTTCCCTCTTTGTTCTCAGGGCCTCGACCATTCACACCCCCCACCCCACCAACATGTGCCGGGAGTGCCTCAGATAGGACAGTCAGGGCTAGAAGTACTTGCCAACAAAAGGAAAAAAAAGATGCAACCGCTTTGCCGTAGTTACCGTTCTGACGCGGCTGGCCAGAGGCGAGGAGGCAGGAAAGTCCCTCCCTGTGGGAGGGAATCGGCTGCTCTGAGCTGCAGATCTCACCAGGCACCGCCACTCGTGCGGGCTTAGGGATCCGAAGCCTCCCCATCTGAAAAGGACTTTTCTCAGGGAAATGAACTGCAAAGCGGAGAACGCGCAGTCCCAGGAGGTTGCTCTCCAAGATACTTTGACTCCGAAATACCAAAGAACGGATGCAAGAGAAGAAATCTCCGAGATGAGATGGCACACCTTACCAAAATTTTAAAATCCTGTTGCACTCACTTGGGAAGATTAATTCTACCTATAGCATCCCGCTGTGAAAATACGTAGGCGCTTCAAAAGGTTTCCAAGTGGGAACGGACTGGGGAGGACCTCAAGTCTGGGGAGAAAGTCAGTCAAATTTTGCGGTGAACAGAGTGGGCTTCTGAGCCAAGGCCTTTGGGCGATGGCCTCAGAGTCCAAACTCGCTCAAGAACGGCTTCTCAGAGGGGAGGGCAAAACAGGTCCAGGGGGCAGGATTGTGGCTGCAGCTCTTTCACGGGGGGAACATTCACTTTTAGTGCAAATGGCAGCCATCAACATTGCTGCCTGCCACCAGAGATGGGAGGGCCACCTGCAGAAAAATCCAGTCTATAAATCCTCCTGGCTGCCAAAACCGGGGGGGGGGGGG